TATACCCTACCTTCAAGCTCAAACCTCCGCAGAGGTCGCTCCTATCTACACCCTACCTTCAAGCTCAAACCTCCGCAGAGGTCACTCCTATCTATACCCTACCTTCAAGCTCAAACCTCCGCAGAGGTCGCTCCTATCTACACCCTACCTTCAAGCTCAAACCTCCGCAGAGGTCGCTCCTATCTACACCCTACCTTCAAGCTCAAACCTCCGCAGAGGTCGCTCCTATCTACTCCCTACCCTCAAGCTCTAACCTCCGCAGAGGTCACTCCTATCTACACCCTACCCTCAAGCTCTAACCTCCGCAGAGGCCGCTCTAAACTCAAACTCTCACAAAGCTCCATCTTTCGTAAGAGCTACTCTCCTCCACTCTCTGCTCCATACCTTCACTCTACTCTGGCCCCCGCAGGGGTCACTTAGAGCTCCAACTCCTACAAGATTCTCTCAAAGTTCTCTTTCACTGCTTCAAACCACCTATTCTCCCCTTCTTCTTAACCCCGAAAACCATGACCCCCGCAGGGGTTCCTTCAAACTCCAGCAAGAGTTATTAGAATCCTCTTTTCACCCTTATTAATCCTATCTAATTAATGCCCATGCATTTAACCTCTTTTCTTCTACTATATCCAGCAGCCGGATATAGCTCTAAATTTCCTGCCTTTTGGGGGGTTTTTCTTCGAATACGCGGCTGCTGTCCCGAGCGATTAATTCTGCATTTTGGGGAGTTCTGAGATCCACCGAGCTCAGGCTCCCTTCTTGCTCTGCCAACGGGAGGAAGCCCCGGGCTCGAGGAGCCCTTGAGCTCGGGGCTCTCTCCCGGGACAGCATGCCAAATAAGCTTTGTAAATCATCAGCTAAGTGTGAACTCTTGAAGTGAAGTTTATTCATAAACTAATTTCGAGAGGATCACGTGCTTATGATTTATCACGTCCAGTCTCGCATTTGCTAATCACTAATCTTCCAATCATATGAGCCCTAAGGCACCATAAATAGTCTAAGTTTCCAGTTCACTTTATCTTCGTTTGGAAGAAACCCCCCTCCTCCCCTATTCTCCTCCTTTACCTGTAATTGGGCGGCACGGCGGTCCAGTGGTTAGCACTGTGAACCACACAGCAAGAATACTGCCGGTCCTAGTTCGATAGGACCGGTGAGTGTTTCTGTGGGGAGTTTGTATGTCCTTCCCGTGTCCGCGTGGGTTTTCCCCGGGCTCTCCGGTTTCCTCCCACCATCCAAAGACATTCAACATACTTAACAATCAAGCTGGTCTAATTCCTTACGTTCCCTTAGCTACAGCGGCAGGGGAGTTCTGAGATCCACCGAGCTCAGGCTCCCTTCTTGCTCTGCCAACGGGAGGAAGCCCCGGGCTCGAGGAGCCCTTGAGCTCGGGGCTCTCTCCCGGGACAGCATGCCAAATAAGCTTTGTAAATCATCAGCTAAGTGTGAACTCTTGAAATGAGCATGAACTGATGCGGGTAGGTCATGTGATGATGACAAAATGGTGGATGTAGTATGTAGTATAGTATAGTATATAGTTCCATTCACGCTTCTGATATTCATGCTGTATAGAACGTATTCTTCTAATGGCCGAGTGGTATATTTAAATTCAAAGGCAGTACCTACTGTGCAATAGGCGATTTCTAACGCAGCCTATGTGGTCACAAGTGCACTTTTCTTTTAACATTTGCTTTCGAAAACACTGTTGGTTGGATTTAGGATAGGATTTAGGTTAGTGGTTCGCTAAGTGATCTGAATGACAAGCTCTGCCTTCTTGTGGACACATATAATAAGGACATTTATCTGAAAAGTACAAATAAACATAACTTAACCAATTTCAGAGTATGTAGACAGCACCCTCTAGTCGATTTGCCATCTGAAACGTGCGACCAAATGTACACGGAGCAATGTACATTTACACTTCATAAAAATGTAGGCACTTCTTTTTTCCAATGAGTTTGGGCTGAATACTATAGGCATAGCATGATGGTTCACAGTTAACCAGGAAATAGGAGAAACTGCAGTCTACAGTATGATCAGATCCACTAAATAAAACATTCAGTCACCATTTGGTAAATACACTGCCACTTACTGTAACTGAAAGCATAAGACTTGTAATTAGGACTACATATTGGCTGAACCAATTTGAAATATGCATATTTAACAACATTTATATCAGATTTTATAGATGATTTTCAAAATATTTTCCTTGAGTTTTGGAGATTTCACTATTCCTCCATTTAATTAGGCAGGACTTGGCCATGTATGCCTGAAATAGCTGTCTGGAGGCGTAGCAGATATGGCCATCAAATGAACGCACTTCCTTTGAAAGCGACTTTGCTTTTGTGTTTTGCGATCCTTGAAACCATTTCTTCCTCTCTAAGCCTTGGACAGTGCTCCCGTTTTATTACTTAGTATTGACCTTTGTGTTCCATGCATTTTTGAATTATCTTTGCTGTAACCACATTATGACTGTGCTGTTGACCCACTCAGTTTGCTTTGAGATGATGCCCATATACTTCATGCCTTGTAGTTGCTTCTCTGCCTTCAATTTGTATGTGATGCTCTCCAGGTAAACTATCTATCAATGAAACAGGTTTTTAAACCTCTTTTTTATGCATAATTTTTGACAGGCTTAATATAGCTGGTACAAATCACTGTGTGATTTCCAATATAATCCTTTTATAACCTTTGTGTACACAGGTGTTTTTTTTTTTTGTCTAATGGCTCCATCCTGTGGCCTGAGTAAGCAAGCATTTAGATTTTTGCTGCCTTCCTTTAATATATATCTAGTGCTTTGTAGATTCTCTCGGATATATACAATACATTCATCATCAGCATCAAGCTTACAACAACTAATATGTTTCTCTGGTTTATTTAGGTTTGGTTTTTGCCCAGTTTTCTTATGTGAGATATTATACTGCTGCTGTGCTCTATTTTATTCGCATTGTTCTACTAAACATGTCCTCGCTTTGTTTCCTAACACTAATTCTTTTACTCGACATATTTAGCCTGGAGTTTTCACACTTTAGAGAAATAATTTTTAGATGAAATGCATTTCTTTTTGAAGGCGGAACAGCAAATAATCTATACTGAATATACATTTAAGAAAAACATGTACTGAAAACAAAACCTGATTAAACCTATTTTCCATGAACTGTAACTCCTAACTGATTTGGGTGTATGCAAAGAATGTTAACCTCTAAAATAATATTCATAAATAATGATAAAAATTTTTAAAATCGAGTAAAAAAATTTTTTTTTGATGTTACAAATTATATGAGGTATTTAATTTCCCAGGCTTCTACAAAAATGAAAGCTGAAAAGAGTATAAAAGCCAGAAAGAAGTTCTATCTGTCATTAAAAGTCAATAAATGAATGTATGATTTAACATTAATTAGCATATGAGTTGCGCTTAAATGTCATTACTGCAATGCTTCATAGAAACACAAAACAATGTGCTTTTAAATATAGATATATTACAGACATATTAAAATGATTAATTTGGAATAAATAAATAAATAAATAAATTTTATATATATATATATATATACATACATATTTATATATATACACACACAGTATATGAGTCAGAATAAATAGCTCCCCTGTTTATTTTTCAAATTTCTGTTTAACGGAGAGAAGATTTTCTTCAACACATTTCTAAACATAATAGTTTTAATAACTCATTTATAATAACTGATTTATTTTATCTTTGACATGATGACATTAAATAAAATTTTACTAGATATTTTTCAAGCAACTTCTATACAGCATAAAGTGACATTTAAAGACTTAACTAGGTTAATTAGGTTAACTAGGCAGGTTAGGGTAATTATTGTATAACAATGGTTTGTTCTGTAGACTATCGGAAAAATATAGCTTAAAGTAGCTAATAATATTGACCTTAAAATGTTTTTTAAAAAATGTAAAACTTTTATTCTAGCCAAAATAAAACAAATAGGAAATATTATAGAATATAGAATGACAAGTATCATTTAGGCAGAGTGTCAGAAGAGCACAACAAAAGCCTTTATTGATCAATACATATTTTTAAGTGGAAGGAAGATGAAATAAAGCATATGATGTTCTTACTGGAAAAACAATGACAGCAGAACTAAGATTGAAGTATTTGTTACAATATCGTCTGTGATATCGGCAATACACTTGCCTTACAATAGTCTTCAACACTCACATGCTTCGATCCACATCATCAAACAACAACCCAAGCATCACCGCCAACATCAGTGGCAGGAAAAAAGGTGGGGGTAGGCCAGTTACATACATTGCTGCACAGCAACTCAGCATTCTATAGAATATCTAGGCAATGTATAAAGTAGCAATCATTTCAAACCTTGATGTTCGATTTTAGGCGTTCTATACATTTCCTGCGTTCTATACATTTCACACAGTGCCGGTAACATATTCAATCAATCAAGCCTTTATTTGTCACTACACTTTCGTATAGCGAAATTGGACCCCCCAGACCATAGACAAAACATCACAAACAACTTTTCAGGGGAGACAGATCTTAGGAGGTAGCATTTAGAAACGAAGAAAGATACATTTGGACAGTTAGGCTAAAAAACACCCCCTCAGCTTGCCCTTGATTAGGACAAACATAAATTGTTTATTTATATACAATTCATCAGAAGTAAGCTAACACCAACATAGTTACTCATAACAGATGTTAAGAACTGATCTCCCAAAACAAACTTACGAAAATAGTGTTTGGATAGAAGCAATATTTCAGACCCAAAAATCAAATCATAACAGCTCTATTTGAGTATTACATGTATTATTAATCATATTGCTATAGTGAATTAATGCATTTTTGATAAACAATTGGTAGTTGTTGTAGATATTATGAGGTGACTTTCATTTGAAAAAATAAATATGAATAAATTTGATATCAGGAACGTGTTTAAACCTAGAGTTCCAATTTTAAGCAAGCAAAATTAATGGATAATATTAATTTAAGATCCAACGAGACACAATATTTTACTTACCCATTCTAAGATTTTGATGAAGCCCAATGGGACTTTCAGCACCCTGAACTGCCCCTGGGCAACCAACTGTCAAAAGAAGAACATGTGTAAAAACATTAGATGGATAGACAGTCAGACATGTAGACAGACACATAAACAGATTTACTCATTTTGCATCGGGTAAGTGGTGACATAATTGTCATTTTGGGGTGAACAATCACTTAAAATATTAACATTAAAATAACTGATCATAATAAAGGTTGTAGGTGACATTTGCAATTCAGAATTCATCATTCTCTCCAATAATTTAGCCAACTTGTCAGTGGCTCTTTGCTGCAATGAAAGGTTTGAATACAACATGATGGCTTTTCCTGAGGATCATTTGAGCAGTACTTTGAAGGTTGCTCCAATGCTCAACAGAGCTGAGCTAAAGACAGAGCTTGAAGGGACAGTTCACCAAAAATGAGTCTTTACAGTGAGTAAATACATGGAAAGTAATGACTATGGGTTTCCAAAATTCTTCAAAATGCTTTTTTTTTTGTTCAACAGGAGACAACTCAAACATGTTTGAAACAAGTGGAGGGTAAGCAAATAATGACAGAATTTTCATTCCTTTAATCTCATCGACTGAACTGATTGAAAGCGTTGACCATACTGTACGTACTGTAAATGGTGACTGAGGTGGCTGAATTTAACCAGATGGTCACCGGTTTAGACAACATTACACCATCTAATGTACTCCTTGTTGAATGGTGTTGTGTTTTTTTCTGGCTATTTTAATTCTCATTTTATTAACATGATAAGTGATTACTGTGAAGTGTGAATTTTGCACCACAAACATTTCAGTAGCTTACAGTACCTGCCGCCACTAGATAGTATCTACAGTAGATAGCTAGATACTGTGTAAATAACAGATGCTGTTTTCACCAAGATGACTCATTTCACTAACAGGCCTGTATGCTTATAAGAGCCAATGTATATTTTGAAGCGGCTCCCACGTATCATTCTGTATTTGACGCTCAAAGTAAAGCGAAGGGACCGGAGGACCTTGAACCTCAGCATCCCTGCGCGCGCATCACCGCCATCTCCGAGCCATGGAGACGACGAACAGCAAACCAGGGAGATTTCTGAAACCATTTTGCACAGCAAAATCTAAGAAAAACGATGGCACTCGTCTCTAGCAGTATGGAAAAAAATTCAACGCTCTTTGTTAAGTGCAAATATATATTAGATGTGGCAGCATCTGCTGCTTCATGCATGGCGGGTTTGTTATATTTGGAAATATTTGCTCAAACGTGATACTAGTTTTATTCGGGCATATAGGCTATAGTGACGTAGGAAGGTGCGGTTTCACACGACACCATTGTTTGCTCGTGTGGATGGTCCTCCTTCAAACACCACACGAGAAGAAAAAAATCAATACATCGATTTAGGAGTCCTCTTTACGCAATTCAATTATTCATTGCAATATATAATATTCGCTTACACATGAATGCAGCTTGCAAAATGTGTATCCAACCTTAATGGTGTTCTGTGAATTTAAACACTACTAACCAATTGATTGTGTGCCCAACTTTGTCTGTTCAGCCTAATATTAATGTAGGAAAAAGATAGAAGGCCCTGTGCTCGGAGCTGAAAGTCACACAGCCACAGCGTTAGGATGAAAGTCAGCTGCCATTTTAAAGAGCAGCTCCACGAGCGCATCTGCATGTGATAAAGGGCCCCGAGAAGTCGCTTTGATTTGATATTACGCGTTCGCACAAAACAAAACGTAACATTACAAACCATATTTTGATATCAAAGGCAAAAATGTGTATTAGGCGACTGTGTAACTGCTAGCATCACCACCCTCTGTTTATACATCGAGCAAATCTCATCGTGTCCGTTTGAAATACCACACAAAAATCATAGCGCAAATCACGCGTTAAAAACGAAAATATCATAATTCACTAGAGAAATTCATTATTAGTGAATCGACGGAGAGCATCACCAGGGGCACCTCTCCCTATAAGAATTTTCCAGCGTAATTTGTAAGCGTCTACAACGAATCCCTCACTGAAAGACAAACGACAAACACGTGCGTAATAAACACCGCAATAATATACCAACATAATTCGGATCTCAAAATGCCATACCTGATTTGCAATATCCATGTTAGTCGCCTGCTCGTAGATAGGAGAAATAGCTATAATCGGGGGGAGGCGAGTGATGGCAGCGGAACAGCCCGCGGGGGGGAGACGGAGGGTCGGCGGAACAGCTCCAGTTGCGTCACGCGCTTGGAGAAGGCGTTTTTTGGTGCGCAAAGAGCGGATGGATCGACCGACCGACGCGGATCACACACTCGAGCAGGGAGATCAGTAACCTGGCACACTTTATACAATTGTTTTTATCTCTGTCTTTAAGGATGCCTTCGAATATGATGTTACCTCCAATGAGTTGTTGTTTTCAATGACGAGGCTGCTGCTCGTGCTGCAGAGGCCGTAAATTATGAACATGATTGATCACACAACACCAAACCACTGAGTGCTGGGATTGAATTAGATCGTTTAATTTGGCGGAGATATCTTTTGGGAAAATAATAACTATTCATTAAGGACTTCAACAACAACATAAACAAAACAGTTATGATATCTGTATGAGAATGATAGGAAATGTAGCCTACATTCTGGAGCTACGCTAGCTCAGGATTTAATAGAGCCATATACACAGTTATCATCAGGTCATAATTACCCTACATTAGATTTATTAAGATCTTTCATAGACTGAGGAACGTTTAAATAAAATGTTCTTGTGGAAAGTAACTATACAGAGATGGACTGACAATGATGACTCATACACTATATTTAGAGGGGGGAAATAAATACTCGTTTAATTAAGAGACATGCTAACATGAAAATATTTCAGAAATGAAGAGATGTCTGTAGGTTTTATATGCCTAATGATTATATCTATATTAATTATTTAACATTACAATTTGCTTTACATTTTTACCAGCCAAAGGCAATCTAAAAGAAATTTGCTACAAATATAAAAAATAAAGAAATGAAATGACATAAAATATTCTATATATTTTTTTCATATATATATATATATATATATATATATATATATATATATATATATATATATATATATATATATATATATATATATAATTTTATGGAGGAAAAAAATGAAAATTGTGAGATGTTTTTGCTTTATTAAATATCACTTTTATTATCTGAAATATTTAAAAAAAGAAATACAATTTCACAGGAAGTTAATAAATATATATAAATATATAATAAAGTGAAGCCCAAAATTATTCATACCACTTGCAAATTCTGACTTAAAGTTACTTTTATTCTTTTATTTTATTCAAAAGATGATGTACAAGAGGCAACATTGTGGAAAAAATCTTTTTTATATATAAATTTTATTACATTTGAACAAAAACAGTAATTCAGAATTTGCCAAGGGTATGAATAATATACGGTTAATTATCCATACTGTATATATATATTCTGTATATATATTATTTTTTCTATATATTCTCTATATTATTATATTTTCTATCAATGCACAATGGTTAACAATTTAAAAACATCATTCTATAAATCTGTTTATACAACGATTCTGTCTGGCTCTTGATTCTGATTGGCTGATATCTGTGCGATATTCTGCCAGTAACAGCACTCGTGCTACCTCTTCACTCTTGTGTATTAGGGGCCGATCACACCTTACGCTCATTTCTGTTCTAAAAACGCGAGGCGCACCACATTGCCTTTTTTGTTGACAAGAAAAAAAGAAACGTGGTGTGCTTTTTTATGTCGCTAGGCAATGACTGAATTAGTTGGGTATTGAGCGAGTGTTGCTGTTGGTATTAATATAATTATATTGTTTAATAATATTGTGGTATTCATGATTTAATATTCATATACAGCTCCGGATAACTCAAAACAGCTACCACAAATCTCTCCTCAATCTTCAAAAGTCTCCGTTGTTTTCTTGACAACACAGATACTGCAGGCACCTCAATAGAAGGTGCCTCTGCTTTCATTTGATTGGAGAATGAAAAAGATGCGAGTGACGTAACATGCTTTTTCCGCTCAGAGTTTACTTTTTTCAACTGTGAGCGCACAGCACACAAGGGCAAAAACACAAGGCGCAGCAGGCAGTTAAAACGTGAGGCACACAGGGTGCATAAGCCCCGCAAATTAGTAAATCAATCAATAAAGGCAATGCAAAAAGTGAGTTTGGTGTGATCGGCCCATTACTCCGCCCACATAGAGCAACAAGCAGAGGGCACCCTACAGTTGGACAAATATTGCAGCTGTTACATAACATAATTGAGAATGTAGTTGTTTAGATTTCAGCTATGCAGTTGATTTACAAGGATAGAGCCTATTTTAAAGTATTTATCGTTTCTTAGAGACAGCGCGTGGGTGGGCATTAGCCTGTCATTAAGCAGACCAAAGATGCTGTCCATCCACAAGATGGCGACAGTGACCGCATAATAAGCCCTTAGAAGTTAAAACAGCGTAATTTTTAAACTACAGCTGATCAAATCATTATTAAACAGGTAAGTGATATTCTATATCTTCTTTTTTTATTTACATGATTATGCTGTCAAACTGTTGTATAAACCCAATATCACACTCGTAGCAGTGTGATGTGGCTGTATATCAGCACTGGTGGGACCTGGGACGCTAAAACACTCGGTCGCACACCTCCCACCAGTGCTGATATACAGCCATATCACACTGCTACGAGTGTGATATTGCTCATATATAAAAAGAGATATAGAGATTCTCTATATCATTTGGGATCTATAGAACATATATTTTTGAATATAAAAATGTCTTGTAGAGTCTTAGGAACCCAAAAGCACAAAAAACACAATCATAATATAGGTTAAAATAAAACATACCCCCCCCCACCCCCCCACCACCACCACACACACACACTTTCTTCTTCCTGTTTTTGAAGCCCAAAGCGCTGCAGCTGTCTTGTTCTTCTCACTGCTAATGAAAACACTAATTAGAGGTTTTCTGTACATGTTATGAGAGTGTCTCAGTGGCAAAGCTCATGCACTTCAGCATCCCTCACTATTGTAAATGAGGTTAAGAAATGCTTAACTTTCATAAAGATGTAATGATGTAGAACATTTTTCATAGATCCAGATAAAGAGGTGCAGCAGTTGTGTTTAATGGCCAGTAAGGCTAAAGAAAGTGTCCTCCCCCACAATGCACCACTATAATTGAAGCCATCATTTTGCAAAGCAGCCTGGTCTCAATGTTGAAGGCTTCCAGTAACAAAATGCATAATAGTATAATGCATCAGTTCAGCTTATACTGTAACTCACACAAAAATGTACATAAAAAAAACATGATGTGCGCATGCAAAGATAAACGTGTGCCTTTGTATATCTAACGCCTGCCATTTGTTTCCTAAGCATTTCCATGTTTTTATTATTTAAACTGATTAACAAATTGCTACATTTCGCACCTTAAAAATCATAGCTACTACACTACCTGACAAAACTATCCTGTTGTTTTGTCAGGTAGTAAAAAATGTAAAGCAAATTGTAATGTTAAATAATTAATATAGATATATTCATTAGAGATATAAAACTTTACGCCTATCCAAGTTTTAAAAAAACAAATAATAACTTAACTGTAAGTTGATCATTTGGTATCAGAAGTGGCTTATATGAAAGGCAAAGGCCTCTAGATTATGCTAATATACCAAAATAAAATATGATCATGTTTTGATTTTAAATTATTTAATTAGGACAGTAAGGTCTGACTTTGCTTAGACAGAAGTCTTGTCACTTAACAGAAATAATGTGCAGTATAGAATATAAAGTCATGGTAAAGTGGAAAAAGAATTAATATTGTGTATATGACTCCCATGATTTTGAAGGACTGCATCCATACATCTCTGCAAGAACTCAAATAACTTATTAATAAAGTCATCTGGAATGGCAAAGAAAGCATTCCTGCAGGACTCCCAGAGTTCATCAAGATGGGTTCATCTTCAATGCCTCCTCCATCTTACCCAAGACATGTTCAATAATGTTCATCTCTGGTGACTGGGCTGGCCAGTCCTGAAGCACCATGACCTTCTTTGCTTTCAGGAACCTTGATGTGGGGGCTGAAGTATGAGAAGGAGCGCTATCCTGCTGAAGAATTTGCCCTCTCATGTGGTTTGTAATGTAATGGGCAGCACAAATGTCCTAATACCTTAGGCTGTTGATGTTGCCATCCACTCTGCAGATCTCTTGCACGCCCCCATACAAAAACACACAAAACATTTGATATCTATATTTGTTTACAAACATCAGTCATATTTTTAATAAATAAACTTTCATTCAATCTCACATACAAATCTTTAGATATAATATTACATGTTAGGTAGTTTTATTAATATTTACACTGATTGCAGAAGGAGGGAGAGAGTTCTGGGGATTACAAGTGGTAGAACGGACGTGATCCCATCTGTATCGCGTGGTCATTTATTTTTAGCGGATTTTCAGTCATTTTAATTAAATGCACAGAATGAATGGGACACGCTGTCCTCTTAATGAACAGATCACTCAATCTTGGGGATCATGATCATTCAAAGGTAACTGAAAAAAATAAAGTGGCTTGGCATATCAGCAATGTTTCAAAGTCAATCACTGTATGAAACTGCAGGAAATGGATTAAAAAAATGAAAACAACCAATATAAAAAAACAACAACAACAAATATACAATTAATTGTGTTTCACCTTTAAAAAAAAATCCAAAATACTTGAAATTCCAGCCAGGCTCTGTAAACACAGCACAATGTAGGATCTTTTTGCTCCTAAACAGTCTGCTTTTTGTTCCAAGATGATGTTTTTATTTTAAGATGTAAATGGACTCAATTCATTTCAAGATCCAAAGATGATTAAGCAAACTGGAGCCTATTGTGAAAAAAAATGGAAAAAATACACAGATATACACAAAATGCAAGACAAAAATGTTGATTCAGATTATTTTGGTTCTTTGTTATTAAAATTATTCAACTGAATAATTAAAAATACTGTGTTTGTGCATTTCCCTCTGTAAATGATGCTTAAAAATAAACCATACAGACAAAAACAACAGAATAGAAACACATTTAAACATATTAAAAATCAATTGATGTTTCCAGCAGT